CCCTTTCTGTTTTATTCAACAATGTATACTCAAAATCTAGCACAGTAGCTAGCTACCATCCATTTCTCAGCTTTCCTTCACAGCAAAATTCCTAGAAAAAATTATATATATATATTCACTCTGCTCCCAAATATCTGCTTGGCTCATATACTCTAGTCCCTCTGCTCTCTGCTCATATATCACCTAATAGGCCTTCTCAGACCAAATTTTTCTAAAATACCCTCTTTATCCTTATACCTTACTTTATTTTTCTTCATATCGCTCATCACCACCAGCCATATAATACATTATTTGTTTATTTGCCTTCCTCAACTAAAATGTTAGCTCCATGAGAACAGGGATTTTGTTTTGCTCACTGCTGTTATTGCTAGCACTTAAAACAGTGTTTGGATTTTAGAAGGCACCTGTAATTATCTGTTGAATGAATATATCTTGTTCCATTACATTTCCTTTTGTGCTTATATAGCAGCAAGAGGTGGAAAACTGGGCAAATTTTCTAACACAAAGGTAATGTAAAATCCATGTCATAGCTGTACAACATGGTAAACATTGCAGTGCTCTTTATTTTGCTATTAATTTTTAACTTACTTTACAGCCATAGTCGTTCTACAACTGTACAACAGAAGCATGGGATTTCACCAGCTGAATCTTTATTTTTTCAATTATTATGTTTTTAAAAACATAACTAAGATAACTAAAGTTATGTGTACTCTTTAGTACCACTCAGTAAGACAACAAGTGGTATTTATATCTGTAAAATTTCTACTAGTATTTGAGAATTTCTAGGTTTTGGGCAATTGTAGATCACAAAGTAATGCTACTGTGATATTTTATTCTAATTGTTGTACATCACTCTGATTATAAACCATAAATGCACAATCATCATCATACCCAAATTCTTGAATTATTAACTAGCAGTGTTTTGCTTTTACAGTGATATCATTGCATATTGGACATAATGTTACTACTCCAAATAAATTTCTATGTACAACATGAGAAAAGTAATTACTAGGGAAAATGGTACTTAACATCTTACTCCTTCTTTAATAGATAAATGAATACCAAATGTTTATATCGTTGCTCACAGGTTTCAAAACTCACTTGACTCACATAACAATGCTGTGAGGTAGAGAAGATGAGGAAACAACACCTTTACAAAACAATTACAACTGAATAGAGACATAAAAATACTAAAGAATCAGGAAAGATAAAGGAAGGTGGGTTAATGCGGTAAGTGGAATTGTTGGACTCGGTGGTGTACTCATGTATTTGTGGATGTTGGCTTATAGTTAATTTATTAAATAGAAACTCCCTAGGGGAACACTCTGTGTTCCTGTTTGTCAGATCTTCCTAAATCCCATACACTAAAGTTCTTAATAGAATGCAGCACCATAATTCCACTCAGGTAGTAGTTCCCAATTGCAAAGCAGAGCAAATTCACTTGTGTTTAATAAGCCAAATACGCATAAATTATTTTTAATCACATAAAATGAGGTGCTAAATTTAGATGCCATAGAAGAGACATTATCCTTAATCAGGCAGGAGGAACAAGGGATAATGTAAGGTAACTGCAAAAATCCTGAATGGTGAATTACTTATCTAAATGAAAGAATGTAACTTTATATTAAACTAATCTTATGTTTAACAAAAATTTCCACAAGATATTCCACTCTGCTGGGAACCAGGACAATTAAGTAAGATAAAGTTAGACAAATGGTAAATAATCTATCAGATATCCACCAAAAGTGTTTCAGAATTTTAAAAAGGACCTCAGAATTCTAACTTCCAAATTAGTCTCCTATTATAACCATACTAGGGTTCTCTATTGCTCCAATTCCATTATTAGAAAAAAATAAAGTCACCAACTCCACAGTAAAAGTCATTACATTGCTGGTGGTTATTGCCAGTTATTACAAGGCAAAGAAATGAAATCTTAAAGATAGTACAACTAGTAACATTTTGAGATGGTCATTATCTTTTCTTCATTAAACAAAATGTATAAATGAATCTTTTAAAGGAGTAGGATATAACACTGGATTTTAGCAAACAAAATGGATAAAGGCAAGCTTATGCTCGCACAGTCAAACTCCTGTGGGAGATAATCCACATGTGGATTTGTAGTAAAGCACAGCAAAGCTCTTGGCTTCACAATTTTAGTAAGACTAAGGTAATTGAGCAGCCATGAAAATCACCACACACTTTATTTAGCTCTAGACAACTCCCCCTCCAAAAAAACACACACAAAAAAACACAAACACATACACACACACACATACCCCTTGCCCTAGCTGGTTTGGCTCAGTAATAGACCATGGGCCCGCAACTGAAGGGTCACAGGTTCGATTCCCATCAAGGGCACTACTTTGGTTGCAGACTCAATTCCTGGCTCTGGTTGGGGCACATGCAGGAGGCAACCAATTGATGACACATCCATGTTTCTCTCTCTCTGTATCTCTTCCTCCCTTCCACTCTCTCTAAAAATCAATGGGAAAATATCCTTGTGAGGTGAGGTAACAAAAACAACATCTCTTTGGTCCTTTCTTACCCATTGTTTAATTTACATGAAATATAGTGGCAGCTCTCACTTGGTAATTTCAAGCATCTTGACCAGCAGTTCTCAACCTGTGGGTCGCAACCCCTTTGGCGGTCGAACAACCCTTTCACAGGGGTCGCCTAAGACCATCCTGCATATCAGATATTTACATTACGATTCATAACAGTAGCATCATTACAGTTTGAAGTAGCAATGAAAATAATTTTATGGTTGGGTCACAACATGAGGAACTGTATTTAAAGGGTCAGAAGGTTGAGAACCACTGATCTTGACAATACCACAAATAAAACAATCATGCAGAGATATAAGTTGACCACAAAAATTTGGCTATGGATATTCTCAACATTCACCTGTGGTAGAAATCTTGGTTCATTTCTTCAGACAAATCTCTTATTCTAGAGATATGGGGAAGATTAATTGATAGTGGATGGGAAAGAGATAAGAAACTGGTGCAAAGGGTCCATGCTTTAAGAAAGCATGTGAAATGAAAAATCAAATACAGAAAACAAGAAGTGATCATTTAAAGGAAATGTGCAACAAGTAAAAAACCATTTAATATATCACAGTGATTGGATTCTCAAGAATGACTTGCCTATTATTTTTCAGGAATATGGTAAAAAGCAAAATACATTTCCTAATGTGGGTAAATGTGGGCAAGAACACCAGAAAAATTCTGGTCAAACAGAATGATGGGGAACCAAAATATTATGCTGTAACACAGGGCTGTAAGGATCTATTTAAATATATTTTGACTTGTTCTCAATAGACTAAGAGGATAAATTACATCACTGGGTAATGATGAAGACTGATTCTCAAATTTTAATCTGGAAAGTATATGTATCTGTTAAGTGGAAAGATTCCTCTGAGAAATAACACTTGCAACTTTTAAAAACCAGAAAACTAAAAAAAAAAAAAATGTTAATCTAATGAGGTAATTGTCTTTGCCATATTTTCAAAAGAGCCTTTTTAGAAGCTGGATAAGATAGGTCTTGCAGGCTTTTTAAAAATGTCCTGTAGAAACTCAAAATTATTGCCACGCTGGGTGTGGCTTGAAAAAAGGAAATAGCAGCACACATCTTAACAACATACATTGATTTGGCACCTATTAGCTTTCATTTTATCCTCTCTACTCTGTGAGATAAACACCATTTTGCAGAAGAGGAAAAGCAATGTCATCTCCTCCAGGAATCTTTATTCAATCCTTCAGTTATTTGGTTCTAATTACAATTTAGCTGGTTTACTAGTTACTGATTATAATTATAATTTCCCTGGATTACTGGTTACTTCCTCTTAAGCAGACTCTCTCCCACCTATGAGGATTATGAGCACTGCAAGGCAGATAACTGAATCTTGTATCTTTGTACCCTGGCATTCTATGAGGCACCTAGTAGGCACTTAAGGTTGAATAAATGAAAAAAAAAATTGTCAAATGCCATTTAACAAGAGATGCGAATGGGACTAAAGGGCAGAGTTTCTGATTCTTCCCTTTTTCTGCTACTCACACTGCCTAAATTAAGCCTGGTCCGCCACTTCAAGGCCACAACACCAAACTAGAAAATGTCACGCAAAAAAGAGCTCTGGTCTTAGCAATGTCCAAAACTTTGAATGCTCCTACCCCAGAGGAGGGGTCTGAAAATCAAATTCTTTGGGGGCTTTAAGTACTTGACCAAGGAATAGTTCTTGATTTGTAAATCAAAGAATTGAAGGCAGGATGGAAAAGGCAGGAAGAGTTAAAACTTCCGTTGGCTTAATTGGTTTGCTTACAATCATGGCTTTGAAAGAAAAGGGCAGCGCCAAGCACTCAAGACAGGAGTAAACTGTGAAGGTTACTTAGAGAGGGGAGCCCAAGGATTGAAACCATGTAGACAAAGTAAAAGATGCTAAATTGGAAGAGGTCAGCAATTTGGTAGACCTCTCCCTCGCCCTCCCTTCACTCCTTACTCTCTCATTTGAAGCCAGTCCTTCTGGATGTGATGGGGCTCCTTCCTTTCTTTCTCACCATCCTCCCTGCCTCTCCCCCCTCTCGCCCCCCCCCCCCCCCGCACACACGTTTACACTCCTTAGGGTAGTGATTATCAATAGGGATTTTGTGAAAATAGTTAAGTCCTCAACTGCGAATTGGCCCTGGTCACCAGCCTAAACGCGACCCGTTCAGGTCTAACACTCAGCAGCTCCTCCCCCATGAGAAGCGACAGGGAAGGTACTTTGCCTCAGAAAGAACCCGTCCTCCTTTACGCTGTCCCATCGAAAGAGCAACTGCTGATCCAGGGATACATTCTCAGGACTCGAGGAGAGCAACGCAAAGGTGGTGGCGGGGTAAGAACCCCAGTCCTCCGCCCAGGGTTCAGGATCCGGAGGTGGGTGGCGACGAGTAACTGTCCTCCTCACCACCTTCTCAGTACCAGCGACCACGGCCCCGAGGCGGGTGAGGGTGGCCACAACTTACCTGTGAGTCCCCCTCCGCCGTCTTCCCCATAGCCCCGACGCCGTTGCAGCACGAAGTAGTCATTGGACCTTTCCATCAGCCACAGCTTCAGCGCATTTTTCAGGAGCACCTCCTCCGGCTTCAGCCACATCGTCAAGAACTTTGTGCAGCCCGTGAGCAGCGACCTAAATCCCCTCTTCACCTCACCCTCCCACCCCTCTTTTCCCTTCTACTTTTCCTCCCACCAAATCTTCAGGCACCAGTGCTTCAGGTTCAGGTTTTCCACACTTCCCCCAACCCTCCTTCTCTCCCACGTAGGCAGCGAGATCGCCAATTCCCTCCCACAGCGCTACCTCCGGACAGGGAAATAGTCCCGCTTCATTTCTGGGAATTGTAGTTTCCTACCCGCTTTTCTGTACTCATCCCACTGGAACGCGGGACTACACTTCCCATAATCCACTGGAGTGAGAACTGAGGGGGTGCTTTCAAAGTGGGTCCCGCCACCAGTTAAGTGTATTTTGCCTATCTAAAATTTAAAGCGGGGTTTGTTTGTTTTGTCCAAATAAGTGAGTTTCAGATAGAAAAGTGTTTCTTCTTCTCATCCTTTTACAACCGAGGGCGTTAAACTACAGAAAACAAAGTTTCTGGAATTTTGGAGTAAGGAATGGCCCATTCTCTGAAGCGGTAGCAGCACCAACTAACCTTTAAGGAGCTCTTACTATGTACTAAGGAGATTTCGAAGTAGATTTCATTCCTCATTTTGCACGTAAATAAACAAAGTGCAGATGGGTGAGAGGACTTGTCGAAGGGCACCCAGTAAGTAGTCATACGACATCTTGTCTAATTCAAAACCTTCCTTAGAAAGCTCTTTCTACCCTTACAGGAAGAATATAAAATATCCAGAAGCCACCCAGTTTCTTCACGGAGTGCGCCCTTTCCTTCCCCCACTGCCGCCCCAATCAGTTTATTTAACTACTGTAATCAGCCACAAAATGTCTTCGTAGACTTTCCTTTTCAGGGTCTAAACAATTTGAGTAATATATTTTTTCTTTTTTAAGCTCTTTAAGAAAAAAAAAATCCTTTTAGGGCAGCCTTCGCCTCTTTGTACCAAGGCTATAATACACAGCTGCTTAAACAATAAGGCGAATAAGTTCAGTGATTTGTATAATATTGCAGTGAGGAATTATTTGAGGGATCTTTTTATTTATTGTGATAACTAAGCCCACCAAAATTAGAGTGCACTAAAAGCGAGGACAGGTTTATATGAAGGAAGGAATTAGGAGACAATGTACAAAGTATCTAGGAACTTTTGGTAAGATATTTTGAGAAGCAGCCTCAAGGCCATTTGGCTAAGAAAATGGGGTGGGGCAGACCCAAAGCCTAGTTGCAGAGCCAAAGAGTGCCTTGGAGCAGCATCTGTGGCTTATACTTCTCAAGATGTGGGCCAGCTCAAGGGAGACAGACATGTACTATAAGCAGATTTGTCTTGGGGGTGAGAAAAGGATCAATTTGCAATTCTCTTTTATTAAAAGGCAATAAGAGGGGTCAGGAAGAGATTAACCAAGGAATTTATATGCATACTAGAGGCCCAATGCACAAAATTTGTGCACTGGTGGGGGGGGTCCTCAGCCTGGCCTGCACCTTCCCCCAGTCTGGGACCCCTCGGAGGATGTCCACCTAAGCCAGCAGTCAGACATCCCTCTCGCAGTCCAGGGCTCTCAGAGTCCACGACCCCTCACTCCTTACTGCCTGTCAGCAACAGAGGTGGGAGAGGCTCCCACCACCGCCACTACACTCGCCAGCAGTGAACCTGGCTTCTGGCTGAGCTGCGCTCCCCCTGTGGGAGCGCACTGACCATCAAGGGGCAGCTCCTTCATTAAGCGTCTGCCCCTTGGTGGTCAGTGCATGTCATAGCGACTGCTTGTTCCCTGTTCAGTTGATTTGCATATTACAGTTTTATTATATAGGACTAGGGGCCCAGTGCACAAATTCATGCACCTTGAAAGGCACTGTGGGCCGCAAGGCTGCAGTGGGCACAGGGCCGGGTCTTGGCCCATCCTCCATACCCCCACCTGGCCCCTCCCACCGTGACCCTCAGTCCCCTGTCTACCAGCAGTTCCGCTCCTGCTGCTGCCGCTCCCGTGTGCTGATGGCACCCACCAGCCCTGCTTGATCCTGCTGATGGTGGTGCGAAGCAATTGGGGCCAGCGCCAGCAGTGTGTGCAAGAGGTGGCTGCTGCCCCTTAGAAACAGGGGGAGGTAGAGAAGCCCTGAGGGGAAATCGTGGCTGGAAGCTGCCGCTCTCACCCACTGACAGCACTGAGCGATTGGGGCCTGGTGCTGGCAGTGGGTGCAAGTGGGGCCGGCGCCAGCAGCAGGTGCAAGCACCGGGCGGGACCGTGGCACACAGAAGCAAATCATTTTCAGTAACCACCAGAGGCTCGCCCTGATGACAGCAACTAGCACCCTGCCTTGGTCTGGCGTCCCCGCTCACCTGCTCCATTATCCGGTCACGGCCGATGCCCGCCATGTTCAACAAGTGCCCCCTGGTGGTCAGCGCATGTCATAGCAACCAGTTGTTGGTTTTTCTGCCATTCAGTCTATTTGCATATTAGCCTTTTATTATATAGGATATGCATAACCCATGGACACAGACAATCGTGCAGTATGGGGGTGGTGTGGGGTGCAAGGGTCAATGGAAGGGAAAAGGGGGACAATAAAGATAATTTTTTTTTAAAAAAAAGCTGTAAGTAGTCTCATGGTAGCTTTCTGGAGAGGATGGGAAGAGGCAGTCTACCCAGAGTCCAAACTGCAATGTATCCCTGGGAAAAAGTCTTTCCAATGTTGAGGTATAGATGTGTACTAAGGAAAATAATTCCTGTTTCTGGTGAAAGATCAGTAAATGTAGTAAATGTAGAGAGATGTGAGGTGTCTTTCTTTTTTTTACCTTTCCTTCCCTTTTTCATTTCCTTTCTCATCATACCACATTCTTTCCTAACACCCTTCAAAGGTTAGGGTTGTGGCAAGGGCTGTCCTGAAATGGATGGTTCCTCTGCCTCTTTATTCTGCAACTCCACGAAATATGCCCACATGTTTCCTACTTTTAGTCCAGTAGGGGCATTTAGAGAGCTCCTGCTTTAGATGCTCAGGCTAACATCTTTGGAATAATCTTAAACATTTTAATCTTAAACTTTTTACTCAAGCACACACCCCAACCAGGGCCGGGGAACTTGCAAGCAAGGTGTGTGCCCTTGACCAGAATCGAACCCAGGATCCTTCAGTCCGTGGACTGACACTCTATCCACTGAGCCAAACCGTCTAGGGCTAGGCATCTTTTAAAAAATAAGCTCTGTTAATGAATTTTAGCTGACTAAATTGCTTTTTTTAAAGTGGATTCTATCAACTCATGCCTATTAAAATTTTCTAATGCAGTGGTTGAGAACTGAGATATCAGTTGGAGGAGAACTTGCCAATAACTATTTATGTTAAACTCTTTTTTATGCACTACGCTAACTATTAAAACCTAGGAGGTTCACAAATGTCTCACATTCATGAGATCATATTTTTCTGTAGAAAGAAGTTAAGAATTAGTAAGTACGGTTTTTCAAACATTTCACTGAATTAGGTAGAAGACACTGAATATTTATCTATGGAGGTCAAAGGGCCTGCCAATAATCAGGAATTTAAGTCTCATGTAGTGTGTAAACCTAAATTTTGTATTACCATGTTTTAAAATATTTTAAATCTTTTTAAAAAATCTTTATTGTTGAGAGTATTACAGATGTCCCCCATTTACCCCCCCCCCATTGCCCCTGTCCACCTGGTTCCCTCCCCACCCCAGGCCTTCACTACCTTATTGTCTGCATCCATAGGTTAATCTCTTCTTGCCCCCAACCACCCACTTCCCTTGGAGATTCATCATTCTGTTCCATGTTTCCATGCCTCTAATTCTATTTTATTCATCAGTTTATTTTATTAATTAGATTTCTTGTTCATTTATTTTGATTTTTAGATTCAATTGTTGATAGATATGTATTATTGCCATTTTATTGTTCATATTTGTTATCTTCCTCCTCCTCCTTCTTCCTTTTAAAGAATACCCTTCAACATTTCATGTAATACTGGTTTGATGGTGATGAACTCCTTTAACTTTTTCTTCTCTGTGAAGCTCTTTATTTGACCTTCAATTCTAAATGATAGCTTTGCTAGGTAGAGTAATCTTGGTTGTAGGTGCTTGCTATTCATTACTTTGAGTATTTCTTGCTACTCCCTTCTGTCCTGCAAAGTTTCTTTTGAGAAATCTGCTGAAAATCTTATGGGCACTCCTTTGTAGCTAACTAACTGTTTTTCTCTTGATGTTTTTAAGATTCTCACTTTTTCTTTAACCCTTGGCATTTCAATTATGATGTGTCTTGGTGTGGGCCTCTTTGGGTTCCTCTTGTTTGGGACTCTGAACCCTCTGGACTTGTAAGGTTATTTCTTTTACTAGGTAGGGGAAGTTTTCTATCATTATTTCTTCAAATAGGTATTCAATATCTTTCCCTCTCTCTCTTCTCCTTCTGGTACCCCCTTAATGCAAACATTGGTATGCTTGAAGTTGTCCCAGAGGCTCCTTACACTATCTTCATATTTTTGGATTTGTTTTTCCTTTTGTTCTTCTGATTGGGTGTTTTTTGCTTCCTCATATTCCAACTCACTGATTTGATCCTTACACTATCTTCACTTGCTTTAGTGGGGCTTCAGTGCTCACTGAGACTGTCCTTTGAGTATGTCCCTTGTGGATGTGTAGAGTTGTAATCTAGTATGGTCTGAAATTGGTCCACCAGGTACACTAGCTCTGGAGTCTCCAGGGAGGTACAAAGTCAGCCACTGCCAGGGGCCACCCAGCAGGAGATACAGAGAGATATGCATATTGATGCTATTTGTATTGGGCTTGGAAGTGCCCAGGCGAGGCCCAGCTGTGAAGCAAGGCAGGCTGGCACTAGTGCCCTGTCTTGAGCCTTTTATTGATAAGTTTGGGACACACTGAAGCCAGCTGCTGCTTGTTTGAGAGATTTTAGGAAGGTCTAAAGCCTGAGCCATGACAGGCCATTCATATGGGAAAGCAGTTGCAAACAGCTTGGGTGGGGCTACAACTTGGATGGGGTCTCTGGGAATCACAAGGGCAGAGCAAACATTGTGGGCCACACTGATGGAAACTCAGATATGGCTGCCAGTCAGCTCTGTGAGGTGACTGGCACACCCTTTTGGGAGAAAGCTGCCCCGAAGTTCCTGCCCAAATGCAGACAATCCA